GAATCTACTTTAACACAGAGATGTTTAATTCACGCGCTTTTCTTAGCACTACCGTTACTCTGTTTAGTTACCCCTTAGTGGAATCATCAGGAAAAAGCAGTAAGTTTTCCACCTTCTCCTCTTTCAGTGTCAATATTTTTCCTATAATTCTAGTACTTCTGTCTCTCAGCTCTTTTGAGTTTTTACTTTTCTTGTAACTGATACAAAATATATTCAAGAATATTCTTTGTGATAGTTATGTACATGTCATTGTTTGTATAATATATTAACACTTGGCATTTCTTTTGATGGTATGTGATAAAGGTCCTAGTAAAACATGAGTTTGAATCAGCATTTCAAGTAAGACAAAATGTTGAAAGAAACAACAAGTGTCACCATTAAGCTAATTTATATTGTTAGTATTGCGACACCTATATTGACGCAGCTAGCTTCCTCTGCTATTCCCGCTCAATCCTCACTCTTGAGAATTGGCAGGCTCCAAGACAAGAACACCGGCATTGAGAGGAAGGGTGTGAAGTGTGTTAGTGTTTGGTTTCTCTGTTTGGAAGTTCGCGCAAAGATATACGAGGGCTATCAGCGCTAGCCGTCCCCAATTTAGCAGTGAAGTACTAGAGGGAAGGCAACTAGTCATCACCACCCATTGCCAACTCTTGGGCTGTTCTTTTTCCAACGAATAGTGGGATTAACCATCACCTTATAGCGCCCCCACGGCTGAAAGGGCGAGCATGTTTGGTGTGACGGGGATTCGAACCCGCGACCCTCATATTGCAGTACCTATTGGAAATGCATTTTGAGTGTAAGAAAAATGCTAACTTCCAATACGGTTTTACATATTCTCACACAAAGGTAGAATCCCACATTACAAAGTTGGAGTGATCAGTGTACGAGAACAAAATTGAAACGAAGCGGAAAGCAACTACCCAGAACGAACGGGGGTGCTCTGATATGAAACTGAAGCACACTTGTGGGGTGCTGCACTACTTCCAGAACAGGTATGCTCTTCGCCCTGGACGTAGGAAATTGATCAGATACAGAGGGAAAAATGGATGTGCACAAGTATAATTTATTCTGAGAGATGCTATTTTTAGTAAAATGTAAACATAATTAGCTATGTATATTCACAGCCTCAACCGGACAGACGAGGTTCCATAACTCATTCAAAGCATCAGGAGGTTAAAGATGAAAAAGAAGAAATAGTTTACATCAACACAGTGACTAGAGCATGTGAACTGTGTTATGTATATCTATCAACCACAATCATAAGTAAACAGAGTGTCATACGTCACGCAACTGGAACTAAGAAGAAGTGAGCTTTCGGGCGAAAGTGGACAAACTTCCAAAACAACAATAGGAGCAAGTAGTACAACAAACCAAACCCGGCATTATGGGGTAGTGACATTGCTTTAACTCAGTTGTAAGAACAAGGTAATATATGTAACCGGTATTACAAACAAAATCATAACTCACTCAACCACAAATGTAGGGAAAAGACATCCTACATCTGGAATTGTGAGTAGGGCATGTAAGATTCGCTCAACCATAGGAACAGTGTATGTATGTATGTCCTGTTTTTAGTGTTGTGAGGCAGATTAAGTCTCACAACTCAACCATAGGGGCAGAAGGAATGAACATCCTGCAATCAGGATTAATGAGAAGAGAGGGTTCTACTGCACACAACTACAGGAACAGAGTGGTGTTATCCCAAAACCTATATAATGAGGAGGACCCTGCATAGGCTGGACTTGCTCCAACCAACATCTGTCCACCTGGGACAAAGTATCCAGGAGAAATGGGTGGAGAGAAACCAGCTTTGCCACCTTCTGACTGGGTGTATAATCATGAGTAGGTATGGTATGGTAAAGTAAATTCTAAATTCACTTAGGAGGAAGCCTCCATGGTGCACCACCCCAGCAACTGGGAAATGTTGAGGAAGAAAAAAAGGGTAAAGTAAACACACTGGTAAGTCCAGAAGAAAATCACACTGGAAAAAATGCAATGGGTAACCACGATTCCCTGTTTTGAAAAGCATACTGACCCCAAATATTTAATCAAAGAGTTGGCAGGAATGGGCATAAATCCACTACTGTTTTATTCATGAAGTTCATGAGTGATGGTCCACCACTGAGTGAATGTTATTGATATCTAGAAACATATATATATATATATATATACCACTGGTCATGGTGCTAGTGGTCTTGCCTAAACACTCATTTTACAGAATGTAAACAAAAGAGCGAAAGAAAAGCTCAACCCTACGAATGGGAAAGAACCGAACATGTGTGTAACAAAGCAAAAGAAAATTAAGTCTTACACTGACGAAAATTAGGATGATAAGGCACATAGTTAACAATCACGAAAAAAAATGTTATTCAGGTTGAACAATGAATTATATATTATTAGTAGCAATGATATGTAATGTACAAACTATCTAAACATACCTAGTTAACAAAGTACGTACAAATATGAAACGTACAAACCATTGAATTTTACCTAGTCTACAAAATATGTTATAACACCAACGTGTAAACCAACGAAAATTACCTAGAAAACCATTAATAATCAATATCTAACTTCAATTCCTCGAAATGAATTAATTTCTACAGTGACGAAAATTAAAATGGTAAGGCACATATTTAACAAGGACGAAGAAAATACTCAAATAGAACAACAAATTATATGTTACTAGTAGTAATGATATGTAATTTACAAACAGTCTAAACATACCTAGTTAAAGTACTTATTAATAACGAATTGCAAAACCCATGAAACTTGCCGAGTTTACAAAGCATATAATGTTGAAAAGTGTAATGTGATTAACTTTACCCAAACAAACAAAGTAAAAAATAATATTTAACTTACAGTTCATCTAAAGTAACTTAGATGACAAAGAACACGTAAATATCTAACTTAAAGTCCGAGCACTGATGACGTTAAATACTTAATTCTCCCGTGTGTAGATAAGGGCAAAACCACAGAAAAGGTATCTGAACCAGGTCTACCACACGTATATCAACTAGGTGTAAAGTGTACATGTTAAAAACATACGACAGATCAACTGGAAGAACTGGAAGCAGTAGAAAGCAAGGAGAAGAAGTGGATGACGTGGCAGCACGGCAACTGGTGAAGGTGAAAACTCCTGAAGAGGTGTAGATTGTGACCGACCAGAATAAGAAGGTGACAGAAAGAGAGAGAGTCCAAATTGGCTTCTCGTTTGTTGCATTCTTCTTCAGAAACTGGTCGAAGGCGAAAACTCCTGAAGAGGTGTAGATTGTGACCGACCAGAGTAAGAAGGTGACAGAAAGAGAGAGAGTCCAAATTGTCTTCTCCTTTGTTGCATTCTTCTTCAGAAACTGGTCGAAGGTGGAAACTCCTGAAGAGGTGTAGATTGTGACTGACCAGAGTAAGAAGGTGCCAGAAAGAGAGAGAGTCCAAATTGTCTTCTCCTTTGTTGCATTCTTCTTCAGAAACTGGTCAAAGGCGAAATCTCCTGAAGAGGTGTAGATTGTGACTGACCAGAGTAAGAAGGTGCCAGAAAGAGAGAGAGTCCAAATTGTCTTCTCCT